TGAATTCCATATTCTACATACCACACTTTTGATTGTTTGGATGCTCATGTTCACTGGAAATATTTGGAATAGTTATATTCCGTATCCTGAATTAACCCAGTCCCCCATGTGTGTTTTTTAATCAGTGCACCGCACATAACCACATGTGAAACGTTTGGTAGCAAAGTCAAAGCAAAATCGGAGTAGTGTGTCAGCGAATTTGCATCAAGGCTGTAGTATTTTTCAACCGTTTAATGGAATTCAATGTACAGCCGTAGCTCTGGTCATTCATATATTTTGTGTCCCATAGCTCAAATCTATTTGCGTCTGTACCGTGTTCCACTGACCTCGATAATCTGTGGGATGAAGGCACAGCTCTCTACAGCCACAAAGTTAACACCGAAGGCTATGAGGTGTATTTAGGTCATAATCAGTCCCCAGCAGCCTCAAGCGATATTGTCTACATAACAGATCAGTTTTATGGCTCCGTCACAGGTGCTCCAAATATTGAAGCAGGGAAAACAAATTTCATAGAATCATTTCAAAAAGCAATATTGATATCCCCGTCACTTTTTGTAACTTTTAATGATGTCTCCATTCCATTTTTTTACGGATTTCGATTCGTATGCATTATTTGCTGTCATCAGCGGAATGGTCTTGGTCAGATTGATCCGAATGGACAAGCTGTTTTACTTCTGTTTAGTAGTATGGATGAATTGTCATGTTACATCTTAACAGTATATATATATCAGGCTACTATGCTTGTCGTAAGAGGCGTCGATCCCAATTGCTTGGATCGATGCTCATGATATTAGGCACTGGATTGTCTGGTCCAGACTCGATTATTTACAGACCGCCGTCATATAGCTGGGATATTGCTGAGTGCGGCGTTAAACGACAAACCAATCTATCATCATCATATGAACTCAAACCAGTCATTGTTACAAGTAAACCACATTCCACAACAGTTACTGACACTGGATAAAAAAACAGTATATAGAAAAAAACCAAGTAACTCAACTCATCATGATCACAATTACTATTCTTTGAAAGAAAGAAATACACACAAAAACTGACCAAAAAACGTAAAACAAGAGACGAGGAATCTCCGTTATCGATTAGTTCCGGTATTGAAATGTTCTCCAACTACGTGATAATATTTTGAGTATGTGCATCTGTGGTTGTGACAAAAAGACCTTATCTAGTATGACTTTTTTTGCCATATGGAGCCCTTAGTATTTTCATTTACATTATTATAACCAAATGCTAAGTGTAAAAAGAATGTGATCTATTTTTTGAGTAAGTGCATCTGCCAATGTTGTTGGCAGTTTTGATACTATTTCCACATGTTTACATTTGTGCCAGAAATTGCTTCCATTTCCTTCGATCTACTTTTTAAATAAAGACCCAGGTAAGAATAGGTCTTCAGCAACCTATGCTTGCCGTAAGAGGCGACGAAGAGGATTGGTTAGTCAGGCTCGCCGATTTGGTCGATGCATAACATCATATTCCAATTGCGTAGTTCGATGCTCTTGGTGTCAATCACTGGATGATCTGGTCCAGACTGGATTATTTACAGACCTCCGTCATATGGCTGGAATAATGCTGAGTGCGGCGTTAAACAAGAAACTATTTTTAAAAAGACCTACCCTATGCAAATGTATCAACTGTATTGCCCAATACTCAAAATAAATAATATTTTTTTCCACAACAGCGTTGTGTTATTTGTGGTTAATATAATTATGCTCCATCATGCCTTTCAGTAACATCATAATTATGCGTTTGTGAGGCATCACATATGGCGGGGAACTTTGATGCTCTGCATCAATGTTTTCTTGTGTTGTTTACACAAACATTTTCAAGTTGTGGGTGCTTAGCGATCGTGTTGGGAGTAGGGGCTTAATTCCTTTGTTTTCGAGAGATTAGTTTAATAAACTGGAGAAGCCTGTGAGTAAGTGATGGTCATTCAATGTGTTCATAGTATGATAGTTTATTTAATTCAATTGGATTAACATACAATAGTGGTGTAAAGGGGGTTATACAAGTTGGTATATTTTTACCGACTGACATTCTCATCATGAGTTTGAAACGAATACGCCATGCTTACGATGCTGAATTCAAACTGCGAGTCTTCGCTCTAGCTGATATATTTTCTCACAGGTTCATAATTCTATATACACCGATTCACAAAATGGCGCTTGTTGTTGATGGCAACATATAACGATCATTATGAGATTAAAAAAAACCACGAGAAACAGCTTCCCACATTATGAAAGTGGATGACTGGTTTGTTAAATCTTTATTAGAAATAATAATGACTTTTTCAATATGATTACAACGTTTTTCATCTTATATTTTTGAATATCTGCGAGTACCGGCACATGTCTTGCAGTTCGACTTCGCAGTGTTTTTTGCCTTTCAATTCCTGGTTCGGCTTATCTGCGGGTCATATCATTTTCTCTCGTATTTCAATGGTCAAGTTAGCACCTCGGCTTATCTACGGGGTCGGCTTATCCGCGGTCATATACGGTAGTCCAAGGTATCAAAAAGATTAAATATAATCAACAGTGAGACTGTTATATTAAAAATCAAATTGTGATCTGTGTTGGGAAGGGTTTCTCAAACGGGCAACAATTGGTTTCTTCTTATTCACTGTCAACTGCCATCTATTAGTATTACACCAGTCACCAGGTACGGTGAGTGTCCACATCAGACCATTTTGATTATGTAAGGATAAGAATTTATGGATGAACAACTTCTTTGTTACAATTTAAGAGCGACGTTTCGGTGTACACTGGTGTAGGTTCTAACACCGTTATCAAGCAAGTGATTTACAGAGTTACTTACTTACTTACTTATATTAGAGATTTTACGTGCGCTTTCCGACTCCCGCGCATTTTGCACACGGGCCCGGCCAGGCCATTTAATGTGTTTCTGAAAAGTGAAAAGTTGTTTGGCAACCCAGTAGTGGGGTTTTAGTGGTTGCTTATATAGAATTTTAGAAATTTTGAGATTTGGAATAGATGCCGAGATGGGAGGAGAACTAAGGGAGCTGGGTATGGTAGTATGTTTGTTTGTTTAAGTGATTTGGATTTGGTAGTTTATTGGGTTTTTAAATGCGATTTTTATTAGTCCCGTTTTGATTAAGAATACGCCTAAGGCTTTGAATTTTTCTAGTTTATTTTGTGGGTTTAGGATTGCTTCTAGAGTAAGAGCCTTATTTAGATTGAGGGTGGTTTGTAGTGTAGTTCGGTGTGTTAGGTAGTGCGTGCAGTGTATGAGTGTGTGTTCTGGGGTTTCTAGTTGTTTGCAGTTTTTTGGACGGATGTAGAATTTTTGGTTTGGTTAGGGTTTTTTTGAGAACTTTTTTGATTTGGCTATTTGAGTTTAGATATAAGTTATGCCACTTTTGAGTGATTCTTTGCTTGTGGACACTTTTAATATCTGATTTTGAGATGGGTAAGTTTAAGCTTATTTCTGGGATTTTAAGGGATAGTTTATCTGCTTTATTCGGCGTTTTCATTGCCGTATATTCATACGTGGGCGGGGATCCATAAGAATGTTATTTGTTTGCCTGCCTTAGTTAAGTCGTTTGAGCTTTTTAGTATTTGATTTATTAGTTTAGGGCGTTTTTTGGTGTTGTTATTTTGGAGGGCTTGCAGTCCACTGAGCGGGTCGGTAAGTATTAAGACTTTTTGGTGTTTTTTAGATTGTTGATTATGAGATTTACAGAGTTACTTACTTACTTACTTACTTTGGAGATTTAACGTGCGCTTTCCGACTGATGTGTATTTCGCACACAGGTCCTGCCAGGCCATTTAATGTGTTTCCGAAAGGGGCGAAAGTGGTCTGTGCAACCAAAGATGGGGGTTTTAGGGGTTGCTTATATAGAATTTGGGAATTTTGAGATTTGGAATAGATGCCGATGGGATTGGGGAGGAGAACTAAGGGAGCTGGGTATGATGGATGTTTGTTTGTTTATGTGATTTTGATTTGGTAGGTTATTGTGTTTTTAGATGCGTTTTATTAGTTCCGTTTTTATTAAGAATACGCCTAAGGCCTTGAAGTTTTCTAGTTTATTTTGTGGGTTTAGTATTGCTTCTAGAGTTAGAGCCTTGTTTAGATTGAGGGTGGTTTGTAATGCGGTTCGATGTGTTAGGTAGTGTGTGCAGTGGATGAGTGCGTGTTCTGGGGTTTCTAGTTGTTTGCAGTGAAGGCAGTAACCTGTAGTGTGTTTTTTAATGTTTTTTAGGTGGTTATTTAGGTGGGTGTGGCCGGTTTGGAGTTAAGTGATTACTCTGTCGATTTTTTTGGATGGATGGAGAATTTTTGGTTTGGTTAGTGGTTTGCTGAGCACTTTTTTGATTTGGCTATTTGAGTTTAGACATAGGTTATGCCATTTTTTTGTGATTTTTTGCTTGTTTACACTTTTAATTTCTGATTTTGAGATGGGTAAGTTTAAGCTTATTTCTGGGATTTTGAGGGATAGTTTAGCTGCTTTATCGGCGTTTTCAGTACCGTATACTCCTACGTGGGCGGGTATCCACAAGAAGGTTATTTGTTTGCCTGCCTTAGTTAGGTCGTTGGAGCTTTAAAGTATTTGATTTATTAATTTAGGTCGTTTTTTGGTATTTTTGTTTTGGAGGGCTTGCAGTCCACTTAGGGAGTCGGTAAGTATTAGGATTTTTTTTGTGTTTTTTGGATTCTTGATTATGGAGGGCTGAGGCCATGCCCATTAGTTCTGCCGTGAATATTGATTGGTTGTTTGGGAGTCGGAAGGATTGTGTGGTTTTAGTTGGTTGTATATATACTTGCCAACCGCACTCTGTAAATCACTTGCTTGATAACGGTGTTAGAACCTACACAGAATCCTGTATTGGTAAAAACAAATATCAGTGTACTGTCATCACAAGGTCAAACATCTGTCCACGAGACATTCATGCCCTTGATGCAAACTATCATTTTAACACATTTGTTGAATATTACACATGGATGAATTTTAAACCAATGAAATGACTTACAAATTCAAGGCTTCAAAAGACTTGACAGAGTAGAGAGGGTTGTTAGGATCTTTCCTGAGGACCTCAATGTCATGTTTTGTCTTGACTAACTGGCTACGAAGCAACTTCCGCAGATAAGATTCATCCTCCTTGGTGGTCACTACAATGAAAATAGTGGCGCAGCACTGTAGTTCACAGGCTTATTCCATCAACAGCTTGACATGTCCACATAGACAGCCATTAGATAAAGGATGGTGTCAAACTTTCTAAGTTTGGTAATGCAAATTGAAATATCTATGACTTCTAAATTTGCCTGAAACTAGAGACACTTATTTAAATTTTCCCTGTTCAATTCTAATACAGACAGTTTTGAAGCAACATGAATACAAAAGTCACATAGTTTCAAAAATGTTATTCAAAGTGGTCTACTAATAGTTTGCTGAAAAGTCGATGGAACATATGGGAAACTGAATAAATAGTACATGTATTCTGTAAACAAAAATTTACTTTAAAATTAAAACTGTACCCATGACTGATTCATTGATTCCCTGCACTTGAATATGTTTATTTATGGTATGGTGATTTTGTTTCTCTATGAAATGCATGAGCATGAAGAATGTTAACAGGCCTAAACAAATTAAAGGTAAATTAAAAAAAGGGAGAACTTAATTACTTTGAATATTTACTGAAATGATTGTTTGGAAACCTGTTCCACAATGGCCTACTGATGTTGACCAACTTAGGCACTTATCAAGCCATTCGTCAGGTTGAACTTCGGCCCAGTGGCACACTATACAAGTTTACAGAGGTCATTAATGGTGTTCCTGATGATCATCCTACCTTCACATCAACTAGTCAGTCAGTTTCTTCAGTAGTCAATCATGATTGGACTAATACCATCAACATGAACAAGAGCAAGCTTATTCCATGGTGGTAAATTTATTTAATTCTATTTAAGATGTAATGGAAAGGGCCATTGTAAGGACAGGTGCTACAGTTCCCCTTGTACAGTCCTGTAACCAATTAATAGAGAAAGGCACTAACTTCACACTACAGTCCCCAGATATAGCAAGCAAAATTTGATGACTGAATCACATGGTAATAAGATGATCATTTTCAAGTGATCACAAGACTAGATCCTCAAAAATAAAGTATAGTCAAAAACCAAAGCTAATCTTAACTGCGATCATGGTGATTCAAGATTTCACTGTCAGTTTGCTGTAGAAGCTTCATTGTATCTGGGTGCTGTACTGGCAATGTGGCTGCCTTCTTGTATGGGTTAGCGCCCTCCTCAAGGATGGGGCATTAAACAACTTATGCCACATGAGCCACCATAAGCGATACACTTTTACACAACAATGCAAAACAGTGAACCAAGGCTTTCTCCGCATCTCATTCCAACTGAATCACTCCAGCCTCAGCACAGATCACATGCTGGATTGGGGACATTACGCACCCTAGTGGAACAACAGCTGGGTATCTACAGCAACACAGGATCTGCCATTACAAATAAATTTCTGTTTGTGGATTAAAAGAACCCTGTTCACCCTTCATTTGTGGGAGTCTGGCATGATCGTTGGATTGTCCAAGTAGTGATCATTTGACTGTGGAAGTCATTCCTAACACAAGAGGTGACTGTAAACATTATACCTGAGGTTCCACAGGGTGGGAAGTGTTGGTTCTCATGACAGTTAAATGCTGCAATATTAAACATAACATAATCTAAAATAGTGTGTAGTTACTTCCCTTACCATGTGCAAAGGTTTACTGTTCATCTCATGTGATGGTCATGCCGGCAGTAGAAGTTTGTGTGCTTGTTTTGCCGTTTGCAAATTTGGTCAATGAAAACTTGAAATTTACGATAAAACATCACTAGACATAATGATTCACAAAATTAATTATATTTGTGTCCAAAAGAACAAAAGTAAAAAAGGAGTCCAAATCAAGTCTATAATGATTTGGCAAGTCTAGATTACCTCAGCTCTAGGAAAATAAGGATTAAGGCTCCATTTGGATTATTAATTTTGTAGATATATATGTTTAAATAAGAGAACTTTATTTCTGGGACAAAATGTCAGTCTATTGTGTACTGTATTGCTGGACATTGTTTCGTAAGCAGAGATTAAGATTACATGTGTATTTGTCTTGTGAAATAACCCGGAAATAGCAATCAGCTGTTCACACATTTTCTCCCTGATCTTAGGGTGATTTAATTTTAGAAATACCTAATATCATGGCCAATATCATAACTGAAAAGAAATTTCAATACAGTGACAGGAAGACCGAATATATAATATCATGGATTACAAACAAAGTCCAGATACACAATGGTTGGTTGGTTGGTTGGTTTGTTGTTTAACGCTGCACTCAGCAATATTCCAGCTATATGCCGGCGGTCTGTAAATAATCGAGTCTGGACCAGACAATCCAATGATTGATATCATGAACATTGATCCACGCAATTGAGATCGATGACATGCATCAACCAAGTCAGCGAGTCTGACCACCCGATCCCGTTAGTCGCCTTTTACGACAAGCTTATAAACCTATTCATTTGGATCGCTATTAAGTAAGAGACTTCTTTCTATAGGCATTAAACCTATTGTGAGGTTTTACTTTCCAGTCGGGTTAAATCTCATAAACAGGGACGTTGTAATGTCCCTGGGATTTTATATAATATCCCAGGGATTTTATAGGATATTCAAGTCATATTTGCTATAATATCCCAGGGATTTTATATAATGTCCTGGGTATATTATTATTATAACTTCCGTTCAGATTGTAACATGTAATGAAATGTAAAATCAAATGACAAATGTTTTCTTTATATTCCCGAGGATCGAACTCACAACCTTCATATCTGTAGCCCAGTGAATGTACCATGAGGCTACAGAGGTGTTGATAAGCCTCACTGGTTTTTAGAATGTCCTTTTCAAGATCTGTACGCCAGCAACAGATATTTTACGTGCGTTTCCTAAGGTTCATGGGAAGTATGTTTGAAACATAAAAATGTTGATAAATGTTTTTTTAAGTTTCTTTTTTCGGTTTATAAGTGTGGAAAAACACTTTCCCTCGGTTTTGGTAGACAGAGCATGCCCTGGGGGTCGTAAAAAAACGCGGGGACTTCGCCCCCTTGGTTTTTTCCTCTCCCCAGGGCATGCTCTGTCTACCAAAACTTCGTAAGCGTGTTTTCTCCAATACATAGTCACCTTTTACGGCAAGCATGGGTTGCTGAAGACCTATTCTACCCCGGAATCTTCGCGGGTGAGATACATATAATGAACACTTTTATAGCCAAACAGTGTATTAACAGGACTACTTTACGTCCTTATGAACATATTTGTTGACATGCTACTTTCAGTGTTGCAAGCTCACAATAATGTCTTCACGTTGTGAAATAGATTTGAAACTCACACTGCACACACTGGAAGTCAAATATTGTATTTCACTAATCTACTAATACATTCATGTAGGAGGCCCTTTCCCAGGTTGATTGCACACAACTGTTTATTTGGTTAGATACTACATGTACTAGTTTGAACAACCAAAAGAGAAAAACGCTATGCTCCCGCACAATATTTTCAAAAGCCATTGCCTGAGAACCAATTCTTTTATATTTCTGAGCCTAATGCTCACTGTGTACCTTTCTCCTCTGCAACATCCTCAGCAGGTTTTGCTGTAGCTTCAACTGGTTTTGCTGAAGTGTCTGCTGGTTTTGCTGAAGCATTTGCTGTAGCGTCTGTGTTGGTAGTGTCTTTCGAGCCGGATTTACTTGCACCATTTGATGCTTCAGTATTGGCCGATTCATTCTTGTTGATGGCCAGTTTTTCTACCTATTAAGGGAAAACACAAAACACAAATGATGGAACTGGCAAACCTAGCATGCTGTAATCAGGGTTCGTCACAAATATATTTAAATATCAAATGCCTCACTTAAGTTAATATATTTCAGTAAATTTTAAAATGAGGTATCCCTTGAGTGTGATCTCAGTATGGATGAAACTGTCAAAGAGTATGCGTGCGGTGACTCTACCTGACTGGCTAGCCCCTTCTCCTGGGCATCAACTTCATCTCCCCAGTCAGACATGGTTGCTCCTCTGCCTGCAAATGTCAGAGAAGGATGAAACATATCTTCCTCTCCCTACTTTGGAAATAGACCCAAAATTTATCTCAACAGCAACAAATTTCTTCCAAATTACCCTGGTACGTAAGTAGCTCTACAGTCAGCTATTATGTCAACTCTACTATTCTCCAAATATGGCAGGAGGGACAACAGAACTCAAACCATCAACCATACTTTGGTGGAATTCATGAACATCTCGAAACTGGTATCATTATCATGATTATTGAGTTGCCCTTAGTTGGTATTTTTTTGGTTTTTTAAAAAAAAAATTTACTGTTCCCAGAGTTTGAGATTAATACAGTATTCCGTCAAAAACATATTTCGGATAGCATAGAATGGCACAATACACTCTTTAAAAAATTAAAGGGTTGGAAACAAACATTGTCCTATTTCAAACCCAAAACAGTTGCAACACACAATCAGACTCAAACATGGCATGTATCAACAGAGAGCTAAGAATCAAATACTGAGAATAAAGGTGACCATTTTTTGTTAAAGTTATTTTTGTCATCCATTTTTATAGCAATACATTTCTCGATTGAGTATATGTTTTTAAATAGTTTTAAAAGTATATCTAATTTCGGTTTGGTTCCTTTAATTCCACTTACATGAATATGCCTTTTTCCCAATAAAACTATATGATTGATTAAAGTATTAGAGTAGTTAGAACCAAACCAAATAAGATATTTTGTCAATTTAATTTTTTGTGGAAGATGATTATTAAGCCAAAGTTCAAGATCATTCCAAAATTGTTTAGTTTCATTACATTCCCAAAAGACATGGCTGACGTCCTCATTGACAGCATTACAAAAGCTACAAACACTGTTGTCCACAAGATTCATTGTTAATAGTTCCTCCTTTGTGTAGATAATTCCATGTAGAAATCTGTACTGAAAATCTAAAAGTTTTACATCCTTCAGTTTACATCTATAAACAGTAAATATCGTTTTCCAATTAAAACCACCGTGAAAAATTGATTGCCTTTTATCACAAACTTTAAGATTATTTTCATTTGATATTAATTTATCATAAAAGTTTCTAGCGCCTTTAACAGGCTTCATCAGATCACTTAAGCAACTGTTTATATACTTATTCTGTAAAATTATTTTTCTAGTTTTCTGGATTGTTGTTTTCCAGGATTCTGCTATATAACCTTTTATCAGATATTTTAGTTTCACTTCTTCAAATGACATCAATCCGTTTTCATTGCATATATCTTTAATATTAGCCCATTGCTTTATGTAGTATGCATCTTCCCGAGGCAAGTGAGTTAACTGACTATAAAAGTCCAGTTTCCACCCTTGCCGAACTAGGCTGGTATTATGGAGTTACATTTTGGCTGGCGCACCAAAATCGAAATCCGGTTCGTAGAGTGTCATGCAGATTTCGGTCGACTGCAGGATTTGCAAAGCATGTGCACCGCTAACTCGTTGTCAACAGATATTTTCTAATTCTTTTCATGTTTTTAATCAAGGTGCTCACGTGATTTGATGCACTTGGCGATGTAAGACTCGTTTTATCACAATATAGATCTTGATTATCGATCAGATCGTCTTGACTGGGCGCCAGTTATGTTTGAAACAAATGCAAGTGATACGAGAGGTTGAATCTGATTGGTCAATAGGAGAGGCATAGAAAGGACATAACTCGTCTGTCCAAATCCATATTTTTGTAAATTGTTTTGATACCGTATCAAATGCCTTTTCAAAATAGACCAACAGACGTAATCCTGGTTTATTTTGTCTTTTTAATATCATATAACAACCTTGTGTTTTCTGAAATAGATCACCCTGGAATAAATCCTGTTTGATTATTATGAATGAGCAATTCCAATGTTGATTTTATATGGTTTGCAATACAAGTACTAATTATTTTATAGAGTACATTCAATAAAGTTATTGGTCTCCAATTTTTCATCAATGTTCTGTCTTTGTTTGATTTTGGTATACAAGTTATAACTCCTCTTTTCATTGTCATACTCATTTTGTTATTTGCAGAAGTACTTTTTACAAATCTGTATATCCAGAATTTTAATTCTTTCCAGAAAAACTTTAAAAATTAAATAGGAAAGCCATCAATACCGGGACTTTTATTGTTTTTCATGTTTCATGAAATTTCTTTAAGCTCAATTTCTCTTTCTAATAAGTTTTTCATTTGGTTGTCTAACGTTGGAGTCTCTTAATTTGTTAATTTTTGTAACTTCTGTCATTGCTATCAGAAATATATAATTTGTTATAAAAGTTTCTTAGTTCATCTAATATGCAATTGCCGTCTCTTATTACTGTATCATCTTCAGTTATAACTTTATTTATTAATTTACTGACATAATTTCTATTTTCTAAGTGGCAGAAATAACTTGTTGGTTTTTCTCCTTCCTCATACCATTGCATTCTATTTCTAATTTGTATTCCTCTTATTTCCTCTTCTTTTATATGTTCCATTTCTAATTTGTATTTTGATAGTTCAGATACCGTATTCGACGTAATAAGCGCCCAGGGCACTCTCAAAATTAGAAATAGGAGGCTCTAATTTGAATATTATTTTGGTGAAAAAAGACAGCGTTGAAAGATAAATTTCATGGTTATGCTGACAGCCTGAAATATTAATGTACGACAGATATATTTTTCCAGAATTTTATTGCCCATAATTAAGGGTGCATAAAGCACACGAGTGCATATTATACGCGAATAAATAAGTCTTGTGTACATTGATCAATCGGAAGGGGTGCTAATTGGGATTGTTCACCAGCCAACTTATCAGCAAATGTCACTGTGGGTGCTTATTACGTCGAATACGGTAGATATTTTTAGTCTATTTGTTCAAAATTTCGCCTTATGTCATCTTCCAAATCGCTTATCTTAATTTCTAATTATTTTGTTTGATTGATTTTGGTTCTTTTAATGAATGAAGAAAATGAAATTGTTTTCCCTCTAACTTTCATTGAGAGGGTTTCAAGAAATAAACTGTCATTTATTTTAAGTTTGATATCTAACTCACTTTGTTCACTATCACTATTCTCAGAATATTCTTTTTCAGTTTCTTCTATAACTGGTTTAACTAAATCTGTATAATCTTTTATATTCGGGTAAAATATTTGTTTCCAATGTCATATTTCTTATATCTTCAGACACTAAATTGAAGTCCAGCCTAGCTTGTTGTCTTGGGTTTTTCTTCCACCATGTAAATTTCTTTAAGTCTGTATTTAGTTCTCGCCATATATCTATCATATTTAACGATTCTATTTTTTCCAATACTCATAATAATCTGTCTTGCTTTTGGGTTATTTATATTTTTCTAATTTTCTAAATCAACTGCAGGATTAAGAATAAGGTTCTGGTCACCTACAATAACTAATGAATCATTTTCGAAGTTATCGATATTATCAAATAGTTTTTTATAAAAATCAGGATCATCACTATTAGGTCCATAGAGATTAGTTAATGTTAGTCTTGTACCTTCTAGAGTTATATCAGCTATTATATAATTGCCATTTTCATCTATTTTAGTGCTATGAATTGTTATGTCTACATTATTATTAAACATTATAGCAACACCTCTAGCATTGAATTTATATGGTGCAATTATGCTTTGTAGACCCCATTCATTCCTCATAAGAGTAACATCATTTTCTTAAATATGAATGTCTTGTAGGCAAACAATAGAGATCTTTCTTTTTCTCCAAATATTCAGTACTTCCTTTCTCTTATTTATATCTGCTAAGCCTCTGCAATTAGCCGAAATCACTTTTATTTTTTTAATATTAGCCATAATCTGCTATTGCAAGAAGTAATGTACTATAATGAGCTACAACGGGTATTTGATTTCTATAAACTACAGGGAACATTTTTTTTTGCAGAATTATCTGAATAAAAAAAAAGGGATGAACATAGAAATATAAAAGCATAAATACTGGTGTTCCATAGTGGACCCCACTTAGTTGGTAGTTAATGGCACATAATGATTGTTATGCTGTGACACAAGTTATCTCCAGATTTTTAAAAACTATTTTTGGAAGCTTCTCTTCCATTAGATACACTTACAGTACCAGTAATCAAAGCAGTCGATTACTAATTCTGTCTGTGATTTTAGCCGTAGGCCTTGTCTGAAGCCCGAGTCTAGTAAAATTTCTTCTGGTCCATTAAGATCACCTTACTCCAGTCCATATGGTAAGACTACATTCTACCAAAAGTAATGTTCGTGCTAGTAGTATCAACATAAGTATTTGGCACTGCTGTTAACTGTGTACATCAGTTTTGACTAGTGGGGTTTAAGAGTTATTCTATTATACATCTGATTTGAAATTCATTGTCAACCTAGTTTGAATAGAGGCAAAAGGTATCATTCTATTGGCCAAGAACACCAAAGTTGACCAGACAGCTGCAGTTATCATAACATTTTAGTATGAACATGCTAATTAGAGACTGTTTAACTGATGACATGGACAGAAGGGTTTACGATATGTAGCCAAAGTGTCTGATGCTACTAAAACACTGCAGTTCAATTTAAATTTGATGAATCTGATATCTAATTTATGTGTCGGCAGACTCAACTCCAACTAGTATGCAGAATCATCAGCAATGGTGTAAGTGGATATCAAGACTGACTTTTGTATGAGGAAATTGAAGAGGAAATTGAAGATGAAATTGCACTTTCTAGAATTTCAGTTTGCTCTTCAGAGGATGGAATTCTGTTCCCAGCTTGAAACAAAGCTTGACTGATAAGTAAATCAAATTACCAAACACTTTACAAAGGGTACAAATATTTAGTGTTCATTTCCCAAGTGATCGGCACCCAAATGCTTAACATGTTGCATATTTTTCTCCACAAAACGTGGAACTTGACAGAAATTGTACATGTTTTCCTCACATTACATTTGATTACTCTGCTAAAAGAGGTAAGACAGCTAACTCAGAACTATCAGTTTGGATCGTAAAAGGATCGTAGAGTTGGGGGAAATACCATAAGATGTCAACAATTT